TTGGATATATCGATATCTCCTACAATATATCCGTCATTCATTACCCACTTAATTTATCGTTTCGAATCAAATTTCACACGCCGGAGAAAATGGATTCCTTTGCTCCCTTGATATACATAAATGCATAAAATCATATACAAGTAACACTCTTAGTAGGAAGTTAATAATAAAAACATTTGACATCATATATTTTTTCTACAAGCGTACGTGATTCACCCTATACCCGCACGAACTTTAGTTTGGGAAGTGTCATTTTCCCGCAGTAGTGTGGGAAATGTTTTCCCACACTAGTGCGGGAAAAACATTTTGTCATGTCAATCAAAACACAAATTAGTGTAATTCTCAGTGTGACAAACAGAACGTTACTGTCATTTTCGATTCACTGGAATTGCGATGAAAAACTTCCAACTACAGATACGATACAGATGAGTTATTGCGAACGAACTATTTAGAAAGGTATGAGAAGCACTACACGGGATTTATTGAGTGGTGCAATAGCAAAAAAGTGAAAACACCAAAAAAAGAAGAAATATTTTCGGCTCATTTCCTAGAAATGTCTGAAACCTAGAGGCCAAACACCATGGGCATGCTGGCTTACGCAATAAGCTTACCTACATAATGCTTCAAACGGTACCACTATATCACTAATCATTAGAAGATAGAGAATATATCTCTATTGTTAGTTGCTCCTATTTGCAGGAATGATTGATTATGGTTGTAGGAAAAATATTGTTCCTAACTCGCGTGCGGGAAAGTATCACTTTCCGCACATGTTAGGAAAATTACTATTCTCTGAAATGAGTAATGTGAAACGTCACTGATTCAGAAGCTGTTATCGACTTCCGAATTACATGCCAGAGACAACGTGTGCTTATCGCGAAAACATGGGATGTCTTTCAATTCTGATTGGTCTGACTACGTTCATGTTTTGAACGAAGTAGCCGTGGATAGCTACTCAAAGTCTATATGTAACCATGGATAACCATAAAGTCTTTCAGTTTGGCATGAAATAAGTATGGCTGGTACTTGTCAGAATGAATCACTCATTTATAATGAAACCTCGGCCATTCTAAACTCTGTTTCTAACATTCAAGAAGCCTTTGAAAATCGGGAGTTTGTTGCAACCACGTTTTGTGATCTCAGCAAAGCATTTCACTGTGTCTACCATTCTTTACTCCTAGAGAAACTCGAACGATATAATTTCCATCAAAATAGCATTACTATCCAGAAATCATATTTCTCGAATAGGTTTCAGGTAGTCAAAAATGAAGGAGTTGAATCTAACAAAAGCGTAATAGCTGTAGGTGTCCCCCAAGGATTAGTTTTGGGACCACTCCTGTTTCTAACATACATCAATGACCTCTCCTGTATAGAGATGACACCACAATTAGCTATACTTCAAAATCCTATGATGAAGTATTAGAGGTTTCAAAAGAGGCACAGTCGAATGCCGAAAATTGGTTCTCGGCAAACCTCTTCTTCTCAAACGAGACTAAAACACTCAATACTTTTCACGGGAATTACCTGACTGTGAGAAGAACTTGTAGTGTTGCTCCGTAACACAATTCCGTGAACAACGAAGCAACAGAATTATCTCTAATATATTCAGAACATCGTGATATTACTTATGAACTGAGTATTCACTATTCACGAAAAAAATAAGGTTTTGGTGAAAAAAATATACATATACAGTTCTCAACACACTAAATGAACCACTCATAATTTGACTCTATTTCGAATACCTGTATTTTTTGAAAAAATTGACCGATCTTCATATTCTTCATGCGGTTTTCGATATCAAATGTGATATTTCATCGGCTTCAAAGAGAGCTAGAACACTCTGAAAAAGTCCGCAGAACAAAACTTACACAGGGTGTAAACTGGAACCATTACACTATGGTCTACATTTCCAATGCTGGCAGAACTCGAGAAATTTTTTTCTGATCAAAAGTCAGTCATATTATGATACACTGAGACCTCATCTCGGGACATTTTCGTGATTTCTCCCTAGATGGCCATTGGAACAAAAATTTCGAAAGTCTTGCATTTCTTGAACTTTTTTTCTGGAACTCCCCTTGAGCTGACTATTGGGAACAACTATTCTCATGTTTTGTGGACGACAATAGAACTTTTTGTGAATATACAGTAAAAAAAATAAAAAATGATGACTAAAACTATGGCCCATTCGATTCAGTATATTCAGAAACGACCTTCTCGATATCCATTATTTATATTAGACTATTAACTCGAGACGTTTTCGAAAATTCGCCTCTAATTGAAATACAGGATGAAAATTTCCAATTCAAACTTGTTTCCTGATATCGATGATTTCCAATATTTATTGCCCAAGTATGAGACACAGAGTATTATTGTTCAATATACTGAGTGTTTTACAACTTATCTGACAAATTTTAACCACAACTACGATATTACATAAGAAGTCTATCACAAAAAAAATTTATAGAAGTAAAACGAGATGAAAGTTCTATATCCTAAATTTCAATACTTGGTAGACCTCCCCGATTCAACAAAACCTCATGAAATCGGTTTGGCATAGATTCTATGAGGTTGTTGATGAAGTCTATTGATATTGCCTTCCATTCTTCTGATACAGCTTGAATAAGTTTGTCATTATTTTGAGGTGCCTCATTCGGCTCAACACATGTTCAATCAAATTCAGATCTGGAGATAATGCTGGTCACCACATTCTTCTAACATTATAGTTTTCTAGAGTTCGTAATTTGTCAGATGAGTTGTGAAACACTCAGTATATTGAACAACAATACACTGTGTCTCATACTTGGGCAATGAGTATTGGAAATCAGTTGATGAAATGATAAGAATCATCGATATCAGGAAACAAGTTTGAATTGAAAATTTTCATCCTGTATTTATACAGGGTGGGCCACCAGTAACGCCTCGGTCTCTAGAAGGCTAACCACTTATCTTCTTGGAATTCTTCCTCTCTAGGAAGTTGCATGTCAACATAGGCTACCATTTAAAATTATTTCGAAACATACAGGGTGTCCCCAAAAACCATAAAACACTGAAGTTAAACTTTTTTCTATCGAACACCCTATATATTATTTCATTTTGAGATTCTCCCTGATGAGCTGATTTCAACAACCCATTATACTTGGGGTCTAGCAGTTATAATTACTGAAATATAGGGTGTGAAAAATCGAGATTTTCCAAGTTCAAGAATTTTTTGTGTCGAAACTATTCATAATTGGTCAAAACGGCTTACATGTCCCTATCTCAACTTTTGATCAACTATTTACTGATATTTAATTGGGACATATACCGGGTGATCAAGATTCTGAATTCTGCACCATCCTGTGAATTTCGGGAATTTCCGTTGCGGATATTTTCTCAACAAATCAACCTATGTTCAACTCATAATAAAACGAAACAACCTGGAAATGCAAAATTCAAATTATCAAGCTCCACTTTTTCTATCATAAGAATGAACGGCCCAAAATTATTGTGAATTTTTTCGGACAAAAAAATATTCTTTTATTAAAAACGGTTCGTTCACGACATTTTAACAAGAATAAGTACCTATACAGAGTGGGCCTTTGAAAACGAAACAGAGGCTCTGTAGGTCGCCGACACCGGATTATGAAAAAAATCTGAAACACGTCAACTACATTTTCGAGGAAGACATCGTTCTACAATATTTTCAGCCCTGCGGCGTTGCCGCTGCTAACGAAAAGAAGCAACAACTTTGTTATTTCAAATGGAACACCTTGTATTTCAATGCATTTTTAGATTCTCCCCGAAGAGCTGATTTCATCAATGCATCACACTTGGGGTCTAGCTGTAATGGTTTCAGGGATATAAAGTGTTCAAAATCGAGATTTTTCAACTTTAACATTTTTTTGTGTCGAAACTATTCATTATTGGTCAAAACGACTCCCATGTCCCTATATCAACTTGTGATTCACTATCTACTAACATTTAATTGGAACAGATACAGGGTGATCAGAATTCTGAATCTTGAAACACCCTGTATTTGTTTCAAATAAATGTCAGTAGATAGTAAATCACAAGTTGAGATAGGGACATGAGAGCCGTTTTGACCAATAATGAATAGTTTCGACAAAAAAAAATTTTAAAGTTGAAAAATCTCGATTTTGAACACTTTATATCCCTGAAACCATTACAGCTAGACCCCAAGTGTGATGCATTGATGGATTCAGCTCTTCGGAGAGAATCTAAGAATGCAATAAAATACAAGGTGTTCCATTTGAAATAACAAAGTTGTTGCTTCTTTTCGTTAGAAGCGGCAACGCCGCAGGGCTGAAAATATTTTAGAAAGATGTCCCCCTCGAAAATGTAGTTGACCTGTCTCAGTTTTTTTTGATAATCCGGTTTTGGCGACCTACAGAGCCTCTGTTTCGTTTTCAAAGGCCCACTCTGTATGTTTCCTATGCTGAGGTGTTTGAATAATCATATTCTGGCACAATGAAAATGAGATGAATCGTGAAAAAAAGATTGGGGCATTTTTATAGCATTGGTTACGGGTTTCGCCCCTCCCTGTATATTATCTGTACCACGAAACGATTTGTAAGGTCAAATCACCTATTGGTACAAAATGTCGTGATTCTAAGATCTCTTTTAACAAAGATTTTTGAAGAAAACTGCATTTATATAGGACCTATACCTTCAGAAGGCTGTGACGACCTCAGGAAGTATTCTCTGGCATATGTTTATAGGAACTGTTTTTCTAATTTTCGTCTGAAAAATTACCTTCCAAAGTATACGAGTGTTCTTCTGAGATACTCTGTACAAATCACGGTACCAAAGACAAGTTTAGGAAAGTAGGTAATACAGGTTGACTTAGAAAAATGTCTTCTGTACTTGGTATATAGGTACGTATAATTTAAAAATTAAAAGTATTACTATTATTTAGGCGTAAATCCGGGGAGACTTTCCAAAGTTACCTACTTATTATGGTATCCATACCTACTTATTCATGTTTCCTAATTTTTCCTCACCTTTTTCCTATCGTCAATGAACTCAGGAATCTATTATTTTGAAAAACAACTCCTTCAGCTGCTTCCATTTTATATACCCCCGTTCTTCTTCTACGTACGTTACTGAAATAAAAAAATAATCTGTAGGTATATCTAAACATGATTAGTTAAATAACGAAATCATGAGAACTGACACACACATATTAAATTTGTTTGTATAAAATGAACTTCGTTTTGAGTGCTCGACTATAGCAATCAGATCACCGAGAGGTTGCTAGGTTCGATCCCCGGCAGAGCAGATAAGTTATATTTTTTCTGTGACGGAAAGAAAGTTTGGCATTTCATCTCTGTTGGCGGGTTATAAAATGTCACTTTTCATAAATCACTTTTTTCCCGGATATGTATATCATATATACACTGTTGATGGTTTTTGTTGTGCTAAAGTTCCAAAAAATGAGTCAATAAATACCGTCTCCGAGAAAGAACTGCAAGTCCTTTTATCTTCCATTCGACTTTGCGGTTACGTATATTACTGAACAACCACCACTAAATTGGCAATTTTTTGAAATCAAATCACAGAATTAGACTGTCAGAAGTGACATCAGATATTTGATTACTTCGAAAGAATGATAAAGATGCCTACAACGCAGGTGTTCCTACTGTTAAAAACTTAAAATTTCACGTCGATAATTTTCAGATTTCAAAATAATGTAATGTCTTCTCAATATTGATTCGTCCTTTCTTCTGTCACAGAAAAAAATAGTGTATTATACACGAGAAAAATATTAGATTTTAGCTCACGGTTTTTTGTCTCCCTCCCTCCGCTACGCGGGAGACAACACAACCTGGAGCTAAAATCTACTACTTGTTTCCCTTGTATAATAAATAACGAGTTATAAATTCTACTATTCGTAGCCTGATCCGCACGAGTCGCTGTTGCGTTCCAATTAACAGTGCTGCACCTAAGGTGGCGTATGGAGTTAGTAACAAAGCCTACACAGAACACAAATGGGCTGAAGTAGCTCTCGTAAGGATGATGGCCAGTTGGTATGTACAGGGTGAACAACTAAGAACTGCTGTCATCTATCATTCTTCCAACTTTGATCGTTAATATATTTTGTTAGCGAAAAGCTATCATGTTGCGGTTTTCGTTGGTCTGTTGAGATTTAGTTCCTTTAAGGCATCGTGTAATAATATGTACATCATTGATTTTTTTTTTCAAATCATGATATCCATTGATACTCTAGATCACGCCCTCTATAGCGGCAACGGAGATATGAATATGAAACTAATTCAAATCACATTTGATAAAACAGGAAGCGGCCTTTACAACGAACCCACGATTGTTGAATTCTGTTGAAGATAACCAGATCAGGCAGCACATAGACGTCCTGAAGATATCATGAATATATCCTTCTAGGACATTGTGATGTCTTTTGTAACTTCTTTGAGAGATCGCCGAGAGCGCTATATCTCCTCCAAATGTCCGCCACCTAGACTGAGCTCAGCGAGGTCTTAAAGATATCCCACGCAGAAATTCTCATACAATTCGCGATAGAAAATAACACGTCGCCCCACCTGACGCCAGCAACTTGAACACTTCTGAGCGGTTTGTTTTGATGATATGACCAATAAGCACGAACAAAAAACAAACGTGAACCAATGAAAACAAAGTAAACATGTCGCTTTAACAGCTTTCGAGATCTCCTATCCCTATTCTCATGGACGTCCCTGATTTTATACTAGGACATCCCAGGGATGTCTTTTGTCGGGACAACGTACATACTAGGGATATCCCAGGGACATCCGCTGGCCGCTAAAAAAGGCATCCGAGGGATGTCCTTCTGGTACGTCCCTGGGATGTACCAAGTACGATGAAAGGATATCCCTAGGACGTCCCAAGGATATCCCAGGGACATCCTTTCGACAAAAGAAAAAAGGTGCAGGTCGAGTAGGCGGGATTGAACCCGGGACCTTTGGCTTATCATGCCGCACCTTGCTCCATTGATCATGCCTCCTGAAGATTTATGTACTAAACAGATTTATAAACAGGACTTAACTACAGAAACCTGAATAAATACAACTTTATTAGGAATTGGGTATAATTATTATCATTCTTGGGTGTTTAAAAATGAGGGGCATTATGCATGTACGATTTCTGTCTGCGAAAAATGGTAATTTCTTAAGGAGTTCTGAGATTTTATTCTTTATTTTCATCACAATCATTTTCCGGAAGAGAAACAAACATTTTCAAAAAAATTGGATGTCCCAATCATGTCCTTGTACCGCGGGACGAAAAAGGGACGTACCTAGGACATCCCTGTGTTGTTAGGGATAATTATGTGGCATACGCTTATCTTCTATCGCGAATACCCTCTGGCGAGCACTTTGAGATATACGCATCAATCGCCACTGGAAAGCAATTACATACAGTTCATTGCTGGAAAGTGCTCGCAACTATAAGCTGTTTGAGAAATTCCTGAAAGATATAACTCATGAATATCCCTGAAGGACGTGTTATGGATTCTCAGCTCGGAATATTCATTGGATATGTCCATAAAATATACGTCGGATTTCAACTGGAAGTTTTCTACATATCCCAAATATCCAATGGATATCCATGGAATAGCCGTGTGTTGATTGGGATTTAGGAACACCCTGTATGTATAGATTATGGAAACTGTATTTCTAAATGATTTATCATCATAACTAGGTAATCAATATCTTACAAATAAAATTAACACCTATTAGTTTGTTCAAACGGCTAACCGTGTGTATCTGCGAGGTCTTCAATACTTCAATGAATTTGACCTTAGAGTACATTACCATATAAGAACTGTGATCTATTTTTAGCAATTTGATATTGAATAATCTTTGATATATTTAGATCACCAACACTTGTTTATTTATGTTGATCATCATAAGCAAATGTATCAAGACACAAGACAAACACAAGTACTTTACGGTCTGATAGTAAGAATTGTAAGAATATGTTTACCAAACCATTTTTCGGTCTCCGATTGTTGTACAGGGTTATCGCGAGTATTGTTGTAATGACTAATACTTCAGGAGTCGATAGAATTTCAATGGACATAATGCTCTAAAATGATTGGTTGTTGGTTGCTTTTTACATAGATTAAAACACAAGAAAGGAAATCCCTGTAATGTTTGAAGAACATCGTGCGTACTTAGGGAGGATAGGGGGAGAAGGTACGTATTAGATTGTTTTTACTTATATTAGAAGTTCTTAAAAATACTCCTTTTGGCAAGGAAAGAAATTGGGCATATCTAATATATAAAATTCTCCTGTCCCGGTCACGGTGATAGGTATGAAATTTTCTGTGCGTATTCGGTAGGTATGAGAATCGGTCGTAATCTATTTTTTAAATCGAAAATTCAAGATGGCGGAACCAATATGGCGGACGAGTATTGTTATCCGATTTCATTCAAAATTGTTATTTGGGGGTTTTCGGGGTCGGAGATTATGATTCTTTCGTTGAATTTTGGAAATTCAAGATGATGGATCCAATATGGCGAACGATTTTTGTGATTATGTTAAGATTCCATTCAAAATATGTATCTGGAGGTTTCTGGGGTCGGAAATTATGATTCTTCCGTGAAAATTTGGAAATTCAAGATGACTGATCCAATATGGCGGACGAGTTTTGTAATTATGATCTGATTCTATTCAAAATTGGTATCTGGGGGTCTTCGTGGTCGGAGATTATAATTCTTTCGTCAAAATTAGGGAACTCAAAATGGCGGATCTGATGATATGGCGTGGCGGATCTGATATGGCGTTCGAATTTTTCAATGATGATCAGATTCTATTCAAAATTGGTATCTGGGGGTTTCCAGAGTCGGAGATAATTATTCTTTCATCAAAATTTGGAAATCCAAGATGGCAGATCTAATGTGGCGGACGAGTTCTGTAACTCTGATCCGATTCCATTCGAAATTTGTATCTGGTGGATTTTGGGGTCGGAGATTATGATTCTTTCATCAAAGTTAGGGAATTAAAGATGGACGATCCAATATGGCGGACGAGCTTTGTAATTATGATCCGATTCAATTCAAAATTTGTATCTGGGGGTTTTCGGGGTGGGAGATTATGATTTTATTCTTTAGAATTAGGAAATTCAAGATAGCGGATCCAATATGGCGAAAGAGCTTTGTAATAAATAGTAGTTTGAAGAACTATAATTGAACAGTCTTTTATGGATAGCCAAACTCGAGGCCAAACTGAATAGAAGTAGAGAATTGATAGTATAGTTTAAAAAACGAGATAGACTGTCGAACTAAAAAGAAGTAGAAAATAAAAATAGCAGTTTGAAATACTAATGAAACACGATTGTGTGGATAGCCAAACTAAAAAGAAGTAGAAAACACAATAGTAAAAGTGTGTTGATGAATACTTGACTAAAAAAATATTGCCTAGAATAAATGTATATATAGCAAAACAACGTTTGCCGGGTATCAGCTATTGCAATAAATAGTAGTTTGAAAAACTAATGAAACACATTTTTATATAAAGAATTTTATGGATAGCCAAACTAAGAAGAAGTAGAAATAAAATATTAAAAATTTATTGATTAATATTCATCTGAAATTTTTTTTTCTAAATATAATTTATATGGCAAAACAACGTTTGCCGGGTCAGCTAGTACTTCTATAATATCCTGATTCGAATTTGATGATGAAGGTATATCAACCTTATTTCACGTCTTACAATCAATGAGTATTCATAATATGTAATCATGATTGTGTTATTTATTTCATCCAAATAATGTATGTATGTACAGGGTGATCTACCATGAATTCACCTCCTCTGAAACTTTCTTCTTCTTTATGATCTTAAAAAATTTCGAAAGTTTCCCTTTTATTTTTCCTTTCAATTTTTCAATAGTAACTGAGAAGTTTTCAAATATTCTTTTTTTTTTCATCGATGTGAGCAGAAGAAAGGTAATCCCTATATAATGTTCGAAGAACATCATGCGTACCAAGGGAGGAAAGGATGTAGATAAGTATTGTTTTTTTTTGAACTTTTGGGTATTATAAGTTCTTGGAAATACTTCCGCAGGCAATGAATTCTCGAGCATCACCGTTCTATAGATAAACGAATT